CTCTCTCTCTCTCTCTCTCTCTCTCTCTCTCTCTCCAGGCTCGTTGTTGTCTCCTCGACGCTCTGATCAGCAGCAGGAGCACTCGTCGTCGACGACCACACTGGAGCCACACACTGCGGCACTGAGGCAACTTGTACTCTCGTATTACGACGCCGCTCGGTACGCTGCTGCTGAAGGCACCTCAGCACCACACTACTATCCACCAGCAGCACTCTCCTCTCTCTCTCTCTCTCTCTCTCTCTCTCCCACAGCCCAGCGAGGCGCAGTCAGAGTCCTCAGACTACGGCCACCACGACCACCACCACCACCGCCGCCAGTGCCAGTGCCAGTCAGCCAGTCAGTCCTCTCTGCCTCTGCTCTTGCTGCTGCCACGTTCCTTTGCCCAATGTGAGAGAGAGACAGAGCCTGAGAGCGTGTGCTCTAGTGCGTTCTCTCCCTGCTAGGCGTTGGCTAAGTCCCCGTGTGCGTCCACCGCCGCCACCAGCAGCAGCGTTGCATGTGTGTTCTCTGATGCACCGCATGCACCGTCATCCTTCTTCTGCACTTCTTCTGCTCGTCGTCGCCGTCGCCGCCGAGCCTGCTCCCCAGCCAGCTCCGCACTCGCTTCCTCGCGCCCAGTCACGCCAGCAGCAGCGGCCTCGCCTTGCCTTGTCTTTTCCTCTCCTCTCCTGTCCTCACTTGCGACGATCAGACTGCAGCCCCAGCGAAGAGACTTTTGTTCAATTCTTTAAGTCCTGAACTCCAACGCTGCAAACTCCCAAAGAAGGTAAGAAATTTTTTTATTTGTGCTTTTTCCCGTTAGCTGTGCAGTATTGGCAACAGTAGCAGCAGCGACAATAACAACAACAACAACACCATCAGCATCATCATCAGCAACAGCAACAGCAACAACGCCTGGCGCCTTTTCATGCTGCCTCTTCATTCAAGTGTTCAGCATCTTATCTTCAGCCTTCTTCTACTCATCCTCCTCCAATTCGGTCATCTCGTCTCGACAAGTGCCCCAGGCCACTTTTCTAGGCCTCCCCCGTCTAGCCGGTCTGGGGTCGCTCTCCCTCCTCCACCTAGGCCCTGTTTGATTAAGTGCATGTGTCTGTGGTGTGTTGGGTCCGTCTGCGACGTGTCTGCTCTCTCTCTCTCCGTCTCCTCACTCTGTCTCCTACTCTTCGTCCCTGCATTGCCTCACTCGGTCTCTTCTTTCCTCTCTTCTGCCCGGCCGCTCTCCTCATTGTTCACCCGCCGCGCTCTCTCAGCTAAGGGCCTAGCAGGCCAGTGCAGTGCTGCTTTGTCTCCTCTCTCCCCACCACCACCGCGACGACCACTCCGAAGCCCCGCTTTGTGTCCGCTTTGTGCACTCTCTCTCTCTCTCTGGTAGAGAACAAAACCCCGTCAAACAAATCACCGTCATCAGTGCACACACCACACTGCTCTTCACCCCTTCCCACCTTTCGTTCCTTCAACAATGCCCACAGTGTACCCCACCAGTGTTTAACAGGTGTAATCTCTTTGTCTTTATAATCTCCTCTTCACCTTGGTGCTTTGCTTTGTGTTGTGTTTTTCTGTGTTTTCCCTCTTCACCTTTGCAGTTGAGCGAGTGGTGGTGCCCAGCAAGTCGCTCCCAGCCCTTCTCATAGAGGGCCACGCGTCAAAATAGCACCGAGTAGAAGGCACCAGCGCCACCACTGTCTGCTGGCCAAAAATCACAGCATCAGCTGCACCACATTTCATTTAGAATACACGCCGTCTCTGTCGTCTCTCCCGCCACTTGTGCACCAGAACCAGCAGCAGCAGCAGATTCTATCCGGCGGTGCCAGTGCCCGCGCCTTCACCCCCACCCGAACAGAATATTCAGAAAAAGGCGCAACTCCTGAAGAGAAGAAGAAGAAAGGGAAGAATACAAAGCCGAGAGGAGCCAATGCCACCAGGCCACCAGCTCCAATGTAGGCAGCCAATATCNTTCTATCCGGCGGTGCCAGTGCCCGCGCCTTCACCCCCACCCGAACAGAATATTCAGAAAAAGGCGCAACTCCTGAAGAGAAGAAGAAGAAAGGGAAGAATACAAAGCCGAGAGGAGCCAATGCCACCAGGCCACCAGCTCCAATGTAGGCAGCCAATATCGCCTCTGTATCGCTCCGAGCCAGCAAGAGTGAACAGCAACAGCAGCAGCTAGAGTCTCTCCATCCTCTCGCTCCCTCCATTCTCTCTCTCTTTCCATCCATCTCTGCCTCCACTGCAGCTCGAGGCATAATTAACACGCGTGTGCAGGCGCTCTAGCAGGCGCGCTCGAGACGCGCTGATGCAATCGCGCCTGGCGCCTGCCACTTAAGTGTGTGTCCACCGGCCTTGTCGCCGTGCGCACACACTGGCTCACTCAATGACTGACTGACTGACCACAACACTGAGCTGACTTTCTTTCTTTCTTTCATTGCTTGTTGATCCTTCACTAACTCTCTTTCTTTCTCTTTCTCTCTCTTGTAGCTTAAGACGCAAAGAACACACAGCTCGGCGCCACCATTCACCTCCACGACGACGACGACGACGAAGGCCTTAGGNCTTGTAGCTTAAGACGCAAAGAACACACAGCTCGGCGCCACCATTCACCTCCACGACGACGACGACGACGACGAAGGCCTTAGAATGGCGGCAGCTCTTGGAGGAGGCAACAGCAATCCTGCTAGCTTGCAGCAGCAACAGCAGCAGCAATACTGCCTGAAGTGGAACAGCTTCCACAACAACATGAGCGAGCTCTTCCAGACCATGCTCATCCACGAGAACCTCGTCGATGTGACGCTCGCCTGCGAGGGCCAGTCCATCAAGACGCACAAGATGATACTGGCCGCCTGTAGCAACTACTTCCTGACACTTTTCACCACCAACCCGTGCAAACACCCGATTGTCATCCTGAAGGACGTCAAATTTAACGACCTAAAAGCCATCATTGACTTTATCTACAGCGGCGAGGTGAACATTCCCCAGGAGCAGCTCAACTCGCTGCTGAAGACCGCCGAGACGCTGAAGATTAAAGGGTTGTCAGAGTTTGGCGCCGAGAAGCAGGTGCCCAGTGCGTCGACAGGCGTCTCGCTGAAAAATAGCCTAAACACGGCAATACCGGTCAACTACGGCACCAACTCGAGCCAGCTGTACGCGGCTTTTGGGAAGAAGAGAAAAAGGCCACGGCTGCAGTTTTCTGGTGCTCTCAGTGCCCAGGGCGGCGTCGGCGGCGGCCTTCCTAACTCCAGTGCAATCAACCTCAACCACATCAATAACAGCGTCAACAGCGGCGTTAAAACGTACGCCAAGTCAATGGTGAACAGTCTGAACAGTCTTCAACAGCAGCAGCAGCAACAGGTCAAGGCCGAGTTGGCGGCAACCAACGGCGACACCGGTGACACCAGCGATGAGGAGGACGAGGAGACGCCCAGTGCTGGTGCTGGTGGTGTCAATCTGCTGGCGAACAGCAACAGCAATAACAATTCAAGCAAGTCATTGAGCTACACCAACTCGCCCAGCTACAAGGCCCTCGCGGCGGTGAACAACAGTAGCACCAGCAGCAGCAACAACAACAACAACAACAACATTGCTGAACATGAGAATGAACGCGATGAAGAGGAGTTTGAGCCGACGAAGCTGCTCGAGCAGTCAATGTCCACGCCGGAGGTAAGAGCTCTCTTATTCTGCTGCTGCTGCTGATGATGATGATGATTAATTTCTACTTATTTCAGAACACCGGGGTCGACTACTCGCCGGAGAACAACAATGATGGACAGGTGCAAAGTGGGGATGAGGAAGAGGGGGAAGGTAAGAGTGATGCTGATGATGGAGTTTGAATGGAAGTTTTTTAACGCTCAAATTCCCTTCTCAGACAATTCAAAGGGATTCCTCATGGACGACGAGTACTCCTCGAACAATTCCAACAATGACAGCGTCAGTGTGATGCCGGTAAACAGTTTCGCCAATCAGTTTGTCAGCGTCAACTCCTCTGCGAACAGCAACAGCAGTGTCAATGGCGGAGCCTCATCAAGAGGCGGCAGTGCAAGTGGTGGTGGTGGTGGCGGAACTTCCATTGAAGGCATCAGAGGTAAGGACGCAATGGCCTCACGCAGTACGTCTTTTCTTCTACTCTTTTTCCTAGTGCATCTTAGTGCATCCTCTGCAGATCATTGTAAACTAATGTGTGCTTCTTCTTCTTCTCTAGAATACGAGCAACTGCTGGCGGAGATCCAACAGAAGAACCTCACCATCTGCCCGATCTGTTCGAAGGAGTTCATCAAAAAGTCCAAACTAATTCGGCACTACCACACGCACTTCAGCGACTTTAGGCCAAAGTTTAGCTGTGTCTTCTGCGGAAAGCTGTTCACGACCCAGGACTGGTGCAAGCGGCATGCACTGAACTGCCAGCTGAAGCAGTACCAGCACATCTCGCACCTCGACCTCTACAATGAATAAGTGCACTGTGTCTGTGTGCTCACCACCCACCACCAACTGCTCTGACCTCGTCACCCTCTTCTGCCCTTGACCTTTGATAACTTTCAAATGAGAAAACTTCACCTCCTTCAGTGCCTCAAAGCATCACCACCACCCCCTTCATCATCACCACCACAACCTCTTCTTCTTCTCCTTCTTCAGCCGTCGATGCACACGATGCACCGAATCGGTCACCACTTGTTACGCTATTTTTCAATGTTTATTTCGGTTGGTAGATCAGATACTTTTATTTTGGCTAATCGCGTGTACCGGACTACTATTACTTTTTAGGAAGTAGTCCATACACTACCAGAACAGGCAAGCAAGCAAGCAATTATCTTCATTTACCTTCAAATTATTGTCTCTGGCAAATGTTCCTCTTTCATCGACACACTCGTGCATTACTTCTTCACCTTCTCTGCTCTACTTCCACACACATCTACACCACCTATACCCTCCCCTAGGATTGCAATTTTTCACAATTTTCCGGTGCTGTTATTCTAATTTAATTGAGTTTTTCCCCTTTCTCTGGCCCAACTTATTCACATTTACACTGTAACTAAACACACATCAATCGTTAGGCGCAATTATTTTTCGTACTCTCAATCGGTTGTTTGCACACTGACACTGACGACTGTTTTTAACATCTTATCTTCTCTTTTTCTAATTTAATTTTTTCACAATGAAACGCATGCTATTATTTTGACATAATTTTATAATTACAAAAAACTATTATTTTTCTTTGAAATACTGTTTTCTACTTTCTAATTTGCACACCTCATGTTTTATACTTTGCAACCTTTTTTGTTCGTTATCACCTCCTACTGCAATCTTCAACTCTAGTTTTTTGTTTACTGTTCATCTTTAACTTTATCCTTTAAACTGTATCATTATCATCATCATCATCATCACTCTCATTTCTTCACTAAACCAAAAGTACAACCTCCTTCTGAGCATTCTGACCTTTTGATGAGGATTTCAAAATCTTCTCTCTAATGATAGTTAAACTAAATTTGCTGAAATTATAATAAAAGTCAAACTCAAAGTTTAACTATCTCAAAAACTTATCACCTTTTTATTCAACGGTTTCGACTGAGTAACAGTCAAACAGGTGTAATCTCTTTGTCTTCATAATCTCTTCTTCACCTTGGTGCTTTGCTTTGTGTTATTCTGTGTTTTCCCTCTTCACCTTAGCAGTTGAGTGGAGTGGTGGTGCCCAGCAAGTCGCTCCCAGCCCTTCTCAAAAATGGCCATGCGTCAAAATAGCACCGAGTAGAAGGCACCAGCGCCACCACCGTCTCCAGCTTAAAAACCCAGCAGCAGCAGCACCAGAACCCAAGCTGTCATTTTCATCTCTCCCCCTTGTGCCTGTCAGCAGCAGCAGCAAATCTAGAACGACGACAACATTCACCTCTACGACAACTACGACGACGACAAAGGCCTTATGATGGCGGCAGCTTTTGGAGGAGGCAACAGCAATCCTGCTAGCTTGCAGCAGCAACAGCAACAGGTCAAGGCCGAGTTGGCGGCCACCAACGGCGACACCGGTGACACCAGCGATGAGGAGGACGATGAGACGCCCAATGCTGGTGCTGGTGGTGTCAATTTGCTGGCGAACAGCAACAGCAATGACAATTCAAGCAAGTCATTGAGTTACTCCAACTCGCCCAGCTACAAGGACCTTGCGGCAGTGAACAACAGTAGCACCAGCAGCAGCAACAACAACAACAACAACAACATTGCTGAACATGAGAATGAAAGCGATGAAGAGGAGTTTGAGCCGTGGAGGCTGTTCGCCAGCAAATTGTTCGAGCAGTCAATGTCTGTTCTGGAGGTATGAGCTTTTTTATTCTTTTTCTGCTGCTGATGATGATGATGATTATTCATTACTACTTATTTCAGAACACCCGGGTCAACTACTTGCCTGAGAACAACAATGACGGACAGGTGCAAAGTGGGGATGAGGAGGAGGGAGAAGGTAAGAGTAGTGCTGATGATGGAGTTGGAATGGGAGTTTATAACGCTCAATTCTCATTTGCAGATAATTCAAAGGGCTTCCTCATGGACGACGAGTACTCCTCGAACAATTCCAACAATGACAGCGCCAGTGTGATGCCGGTGAACAGTTTCGCCAATCAGTCTGGCAGCGTCAACTCCTCTGCGAACAGCAACAGCAGTGTCAATGGCGGAGGCTCTTCAAGAGGCGGCAGTGCAAGTGGTGGTGGGGGTGGCGGAACTTCCTCACGCGTTTCATTAAAAGTGAAAAGAAAAAAAAGATGTGATTGTGGAGAGGAATACGTGCGCAACCGTGCTCTTAAAAAGCACAAGAAAAAATGTGCACTTTTCACTACTCACATGGGAACATGTAAAGAAGAAATGTGCAATTCTCCATATCATCTTTTTTAAGGCTGCCGCTGCTGTCTTCTCTCTTTCTCTCCTTTTCTGTCTGTCTTTTCTTCTGCTGCTACTCACCGCCGTAGTGAAAGAGTATTGCACCAACTTCTTATCTCAGAGCAGGATATCATTACCTTGATCATCACTACTACCACCACAAGCAGCACTTCATCGCATATCATGAGCATTTTGTGCATTTTTTCTTGTTTGCCGTTGCCATTTTAATCATCCCGCTTTTATCATTTTAACTTAAAATATATTACTTATCTTAAAACAAGCAAATCCTCAGGAGAACTAAAGTATCCCAGAGGAGCTCATATGCACTTTCTGCACTTCGAGTCACTCTCTTCCGAACAGTTCTTTCACTCGTTTTGTGTCCTGAGCAGCTGAAGCAACAACCCCTTAAAAGCTAATTTTCTGACCCAAATATCTCATAATCAGCCATGCCACCTTTTCGACCCCTTCCAGATTT